GTGGAAGAGTTCTTGACTGCACAGCAAACTCAGAGCTACTTTTCACGTACTGCTGCAAAATTGAAGCACGCAGTCACGCTCAGTCAGGGCATGACTCCATCGACGATAACGATAGCCAGGCGGCCCAAGAACAGGAAGATTTTTCGTCTGCTCGCTTAGCTGTCCTTCACCAGTGCTAGCTGTTGCATCCATTGTCAATGACACGCCGAACATATGTTCTTGTACAGCAGCAACAAGCTGACCAAGCTCAGTGTTGCACAACTGAGGTTTATCTGCAGCTACTTCAACATGGACATAGAGGAACAACAATCAAGGCAAAAAGCTAGCGCCTTACATTACTTTTATCTCGGATCTTGTAGGGTCCTGTTCTTGCTCGAAGGTCCAAAGAGTGCTTGCGATGTTATCGGAATATAAAATATCCTCTGATAATATTACTTGTCGCATTTGTTATATTTTGTTTTCATACAAACCTATACTGATGTTGTTAATATCGGAATTATTCTATCTCTTGTACCGTTCATTCCGTTCCAAAAAAATTTATTTCAAGTGCGTTATGTTGAAGTTATAAATAATCGTCTATTCAGGGCCGGGAAGAAAGCCAAAAAAAAAAATCCGCACCCACAATCAAAGTATCTGTCAGCGGTCTCATGTAAAAGAGACTGTAACGCATGTTTCTGCCGTTGACAGTGAATTCTGTAACCATCGAGAATGCTGATCCGGCGGCAGAGTTTTCAAGCCTAATGCAAGGTATGGAAGATGCTGTTCTCATTTTAAGTGTTAGAAAGCAATGTCGAAATGACAAATGTTCCAATTTGATTTAATTAAGAGTGCTTTGACCTTGATAAACATATCGTGACCCGTTTACAAGTTACGACTTGAGCTCTAAAAGACGGGTAGACTTTCAAATTTTTCCTTAAAAGTTATAGCAATCAAGCAGAATAGTCTTGGAAACATTAGTTTGTGAGTGACAGCAAATATTATTCAAGCGCTGAGTTTCGAAAATATATTATCGTTATGTTTGTGTGACCTTTCGACATCGGTACGCAATTCTCGAAGAGCTCAAATCTAACGAAAGTACTGCGTGTATTTTTCGACCTCAAAAATTTTATTTTAAGTAGCCCATGGTTTTGAAAATGGATTTTGCAAGAAGAAATAATACTTTTTCACGTGGAATAAGTCTCGATACACTAGGCGAGGTACCAGTCAATGCTTTTAGGCCCTTAATTTTGTGAATTTTGCGGAGCGAAAAATCGCTCGAATTATTGTTAATACTGTATATAGTCTTAACTCAAACTGAGAAAATAACCTCTCAAACTGTGTATTATCGTCTACTTTATTTGATTAGTTACTTGCTGTTTTGTGAAAAGTGTGTTTTGGTTTTCAAGCAAGGTCTCAGCGCGGTGTTCGGTTTCAGACGCCTGAAATCTGGTCTGAGAGCTGCGAAACCAAGTTTATCTCCGTACGTCCAAAATATTTATCGGATAGAGGTAAAATATATATTTTTTAGTAATAGTTTACCAAGGGCTATCTTGTGAATATTTTTTCAGATTTTTCGTTTTTTCGCTATTGCACGGCTCCAGCTGAAAATAACTGACGTTGACTCCTAAGAGCAGTGTAGAATAGTTTTCCGCAGACTCGTTTCCAGTCTCCGCGCATTATTTAGTGGTCTCACTAAGCACAAATTGAGTCCACACACGAGGTGGACATGGGGGGGTTCTGAACACCGCAACACC